CACTATGTTTGCACTGAAGCAAACATAGTGTTGTAAACCTGCTCAACATTTGGCAATAAACCCCTTTCTGATTCTGATTCTGATTCTGTTTGTCTGCTGCCGTCTGCCGGGATGATGAAGAAACGAGACGATGACCAAACACAGCCGTGAAACTCTCAGCTGCTTTCAGAGACACAAAATAAAGCTGCTGGGATGGCCCAGCCAATCAGCTCACCTGAATCCACCTGACACAAAGAATGAAGGTCAGAGTTCATAGACGGGCCCACACAAATAAACACAAAATGATTTGTAAATGTAAATTATAATTGTAATAAATAGGTAAATTAACAGGGCTCATGTCACGTGTTGTGATTTGATTACGATGTCTGTATTTGATTTTTAAGGCATTTTAATTTGTCCATTATTGGCAGTTTGTGTCCTCCATACATTTCCCTCCTCGGGGCGGTCTCCATCTTGTTCTGTCTGAACTCTTTGTCTAACGTCACCAACAGACCGAATCAAAGAGTAAATACGATGGTCTGTTATTGGCAGATTTCCTGAAAAGAGGCGGGAGCAGAGTTTGTAGTGAGCGCTGATTGGCCGGCGGGTCCGTCGGTCTGTGCTCGTGCGTGTGGCGTCTGTGGGTCAGGTTGATGGAGCGCTGTGGAGGAGAAACACGGTGAAGGTGCTGCGAGCAGCGGAAACTTTTCTGTGTGCCTCCGCTTCGCGTTTTTCCTTCGTCCCGCCTTTTTCGGCTCTTTTTCACTCACTTTACTTTCTTTCTTCAAACTTCACGGCGGTTTCTCCACTTTACGGTCCCAGTGGTGTCTCCCTGGCAACACGATCAACTGTCCTGCGAAGTTAGGGTCTGTGTTTTTACCTTCAGCGGAAAAAAACTGCTCGTTCACGCGCTGAGCTAACAGAACCGAGCCGGGACCGACGGGAGCGCGCGCAGAGGCTCTCCCAGTACTTTTTTGGTTCCGTTTCCGTTCGTGTGGCTCGGACCGGCTCTTCGTCGCGAGACAATAGTGAGGGAAAGAAAGAGAGAGGGAGTTCGCGCTGGTGGCGGGGAGGGTCGATGCCTCGCGGCGCTTTGTTCTGCCCGCTGTGGAGACCTCCCGCGTGCCCGCCGCGGATACCTGCCGATCGATCGGAGTATTGATGACCGAGCAGAGCCATGGACGTCACCCTCTCCGAGCTGCTAGGCGCGTTCATGGAGTCCCCCCTGGTGGTGTGGGTGAGTGCACGCGCGCACACACACAGCTGTGAGTTTTGGTGCCCACGCGCTGCACACGTCAGGTGTATCACACATACATACACACACACACACACACACATTGGGTTTGGGGAGTGAGCGGTTGGCGGAGCTTCTGGTTCGTGATTGTGGGACTTTCCAGGTGTTACACAGAAAAGTTCACGCACTGTTTTCCAGAGCACATTTTAATCGGAAAGAGTTTGAAGGACTTCCGGTCAGTCTGAGCTTCAGGGGTGGTTTGAGTTCCTGAAGGAGCTGCAGAGACCAGGAGAAGCTTCCGGATGTTTCACCTGAGCTCACCTCATCACACCTTTAACAGAAACACACAGAGCACAAGCCAAGCACTCAGCATCTCTGAGAATCCGCACAGACGGAGCAGATTTGCGCGTGGACCAGAACCAGGACCAGGATTGAAACCAGGAACAGAGCCAGGATCGTGATCAGGGTTGAGACCAGGAACAGGACCCAGAGCAGGACCTGGACCAGGGGTTCTTGCAGGGTTCAGGTGGATCGATGTACAGCTGCAGTTCGTGGATGTGAAGAAGCCCGCTGGCTGGCCTGGTGTCGGCCCATCAGCCAGTTTTCCCTGCATGAGCAGCGGATTCAGACTCTGCAGGAACCCTTGGATGTGTCGGTGAAAGTGTCCCTGTGTCACTTTCTCACCGTGTCACTTCCTGATCAGAGTTTCTGTCCAGCACAGACGGGCACAATGGTTGGCTGAGCCGGCGGGTCAACAGGAAATGAGGTCACAGGGAAGCAGGAACAGTCCGGTGGACCCAGACTGACTGTCGGAAATCCTTCGCGGCTTCATGAAGCTCCAGATGTTTCAGCGGTGATGGTTTGGGCTGTTCTCAGGTCAGTGATGGAGAAATGGAAACATCTGGATGACAGCAGAAACTGCAGATGTGCTTCAGCCCTCGCAGATGCCCCAGTGACCCCTGCACGTGCACTGATGCCTCTGTGGGAGGGTCTTCTTACAGCCAATCACGTGTAAAAACTCGATTGGTCGATCATTTCCTGTGTTGGTTGTTTCAGGAGCTGCGGGGTGTCGTTAACACTAAAGCGTTTGCTCCTGCTATCCCGGAACATTCTTAAAGCAGAGGCAAATTTAAGTTGGACTACTTAATGTAGTCCCAAAAAAAACCCGGTTCATGGTGATTTTATCGCCGTGGTGATGATGTTCCTCTGATGGCTCCAGATGTTTGGACTGGAATCATCTCTGAAGCTTTTTGGAGGCAGGTCAGAGGCTGGGACGGCCAGCGGAGCTGTCAGCCGCTACTATCTGTGGCGCTTCCTGTTGAGCTGTTGGCTCAGCCAACCATTGTCCCGTGGGCGGAAACTCTGATCAGGAGGTGACACGGTGGGACTGTGGTTTGGCTTCCAGCAGAGCCTCAGTGAGCGCGTGCAGGGCGTTCCTCGCCATTACTCGAGTGAGTAATGCTTAAAAAAACATGGAATCCACTCGTTCACGCCGGCTTGTCTCCGTGAGTCTGCACGCTGTCATTTAGACCCTGAGCCGCCTCCGCAGCTGAGGTCTGTGACATTAGAGCCGCTGTTTAATGTGTCACAGCACCGTGACCTTTGACCCTGCTCAGCCTGGCTGCAGGCATAAGAATGTCTCAAACTGGAGAAGAAGAGAACAAACTGCTGTTTAGTACCAACGTGATCATAAGAGACTCCAGGAGAACAAAGCGCACGTCACCTGCTCGGGACGCCCGAATCACCAGGCATCTCCTCGGGCCCAGGCGGAGAGCTCGGCTCTGTAGATATGACCTAAACCCCGCCAGCCTCCACTTCCTGCTCACTGAGTCACATGGTCACATCCAATAACGAGTCTAATTATGACATTTGTGTTTTTCATTCTCCGTGTCCGAGCTGTTCTCCTCATTAAAAGTGAAACGATTTCCTCACAGTCAGAGGCTTTTATGACCATGGAGCTGGTTTCAGAGGCCCCTCCCCCCACACACATACCCCACATCTCCACCACAGAAAGGTGGAGATTCACAGAGGAGCAGAGATGCCAAACTGCCGTCCTTCAGCCCAGTGTTTAGATTACAGCTGAGGATGATGATGATGATGTAAAGATGACAGGCAGCCTGAGAGCAGCGGCAGCACTGCCTGCCCAGGTGTGCCCAGGTGGTTCAAACATGGAAAATGGGAAAGATTTTATTTTTATTCCTTGTTACTTGACTTGTTTTGGTGCTGTTGGAACGGCTCCTTTAAATGAGCCAGAAAAGCATAAAAGGGAGCAAAGTTTGAGCTCTTAAACTCAGACAGGTGTTGAGTTTATTTCAAACTCACCTCTGTGTTTCTTATAGTTTGGTTTTTAAATGTGAGATCTTTTAAAGCTGCAGACAGCTGATGTTCTGATTCTGTCCTCAGGTGCGGACGCTGGGCCCGCTGGGGTCAGGTGACGGCGCCGGCTCAGACGAGCGACTCAGCATGTTCATGGAGCTGGTGGACGGCGTCTTCCTGCACAAGATCATGACACACATGTAGGTGGCAGCGAGCGCGTTCATTTGCATGAGTCAGTCAAAACTGCCGAGTGTTTCTGGTGGTTTTTGCCTGTGCGTGCGTGCGTGTGTGTGTGTGTTTGCATGCGTGTGTCTGTGCGTCTGTGTGAGTACATAAGGGGGTAAGAGATGTAATCCTGTGTTTCCTGTGTGTGTCTGTGCGAGTGTATTTGTGCAACCACATCCTGAGTTTCAGGTTCAGACTTCACAGCCAGATGTGGTGCTCGCCGCTGAAGCGCTTCACAGAGTTGTCGTCGTCTGCAGCCTCAGAGCACAGATCAGGTTAACTAGACTGAGGTCCAGGAATTAGACCAAGCCGTGTGTGATGGGCAGAGGCTTGTAGACTGTGGGCATTCAGGAGGAAGAGTAGAAGCATCGATCAGAGAGCAGGTGCAGCGCTTCAGCACGCCTCAGTGACTCGTACTGTCACTGCAGCCGTCACCAGCCGAGGTGCTCATGCAGGCTGATCCACTCGTTAGAAAACCCTGACAGGCTGAAGTCGTGGTTAAAGTTCGCTTATTGACAGCAGCTGCAGGAGCTGATTGCAGCCGTGACTGGAAGGAGAGACAGCACGGCTGCACACACTCTTTCAGACGAGCCCAGCTCACTTCTGACAGCATGTCCAGAGGTGGTGCAACTGGGTGGTGTTATGTAATGATGGCAGAAAATCGACTTTTCAGTATCTGCCTTTCAAACCTCGAACATTTAGAGTCTTGTTTCCCCACAGAGCTGCAGGGAGGAGTGTGTTTGTGGGGCTGGTTACTGGGTTTACTGGTTTGTGTTTCTGGGATTTATTGAAATTAAAAAGAAAACAACAGCAGACTCATCCTTCATGTGCTGATAATCCTCTGTGTGGGACGCCCCCCTGACCCGATCACACCACATGTTCATGTTAGTTATTGTTGTCGGTTATTGTCCTCAGGAACGACGATAATCGCACTATTGTTCTCCACGGCGAGGGTCGGCTGGGCCGAGGGGGGGGCGGTCGGGGCTTCATGGGAAACTGGGTTACAGAGGAGCAGTGAGGAGTATGAAAGGAGACGTTAGAGAGTCGGAGGAGCCGTCGGCTGTTAAATCACTGAGTTCTCTACAGAAACCTGCAGCTAGTTTAACGAGGTCTGCGGAGCCGGCTGAGAGTCGAAGTGGAGATGGTTTAATGTCGTGGAAAAAATGAGCTCACGGTTCAGAGCGAGCTGCTGAGAGACGCCGGAGTCAGTGAGGTCGGAGCTTCAGTTATGAAAGAAGCTCGTTCCGCTCTTCGTTTATACCCCGAACGTGTCAACGTGGATCGGCGCTGCTCGCTTCCAGCTCCTCGTTTTTATTCTCTGACTCTGTCAGAGCAGCTTTGCATGACTCACCGCTCAGAATAATCCTCCTTTATCTGATAGTGGCCCTCACAGCCTCTCACCACATCCTCTGTCGGAATCAAGCTCTTTTAGCCCCTCCCTCTTTAACAACATGTTCTTCTGATTAGCTGCCAGCAGGTGGGTGGGGCAGTTAGGCCCTCCTTGTGACATCATCCAGATCTAAGAGTGTAAAAGCTGTGATAAACAGCATGTTTGGAGCATTCTGCAGAGAGCCACCTCCTCATGTGACAGTTGGTCGGAGTAGTGTTTGTCCCGCCTCTGCTGCACTCTGATTGGACGGCTGAGTGAGATGTGACCTTAAACTTCTTTTAAGGTGTCTGCCGCCTGACAGAGAGAGAGACAGTGGGTGGGACAGAGACCCCTGCAGAAAGCTCCGTCTGAGTGACTGAAACACGACATTTAAATCTGCGTTTAATCAGTTACACCTGATTCTCTGTGAGGGTTTAATGAATAATCACATGTGAAGTCCTCGCTGCGCTGTGAGACCGGCCATCTTCACGCGTCACACTGACACGATGACAGCGACAGGAGGTCAGACGGATGGACAGCGGGACACGCCCCCTATTCACATGCTAATCAGGCTCCGTGCAGGGAAATGCCTGTGCCATGGTTACCCGAAACTTGTGTGTGTGTGAGATGATCTTTGTCCACAACAGCCACAAACGTCAGCCTCAGCGCTCCTCTGGTGTGTTTATTTGTCTCCATAGCGACCCGAGCCCCACCAATCAGAGGCTGAACAAGAACGTGAACAATGATGTGTCGCTGCGCCTTCACAACCTGACAGTCCTCACCAGACACATCAGGACGTACTACCAGGTATACACACACACACACACACACACACACACACACACACACACACTTCCCTGCAGGAAGTGCGTTCACTGGAAGCTGGTTTAGAGTGTTGACCTTTCAGCACTGCTTCATCGGTGTGCATGCTGTGGGAGACTGACAGGTGAGGTTTACCTGTGTCAGAGCAGCAGTGGCTGAACGAATACAGTGTGTGTGTGTGTGTGTGTGTGTGTGTGT